AACAAATCCTGAAGCTCAGAGCCAACTGCAAACACAGAGCTAAAATTAGTCTGTGCCATGTTCTCGCAGAGTATCACAGGCAACTAAAACAACAACCAGAAGGACGCCGGAGAAATGAGGGGGGAGAAAGAGGGGTCAATGGGAAAAGAGGGGGAAACTGACCCCCAAGTGACCAACCAAACATTTAGAGGGGCAGGAGTTGATCTTTCATATTACTTAATATATAACAACTCTTCAGGTTCCCAGCAAAAATGCATGACCAAACTGTTCATCTCAATTGACTGTGCAGATTATGATTTACCCCTGAATTATGTTCTGTCTTTGAATAGACTGTTTCCATTGTTTCATTAGCAACAAAAAAGAAGAAATGTATTTAGAGCGATAGTTTTCCCCATGTGGAAGCTCGTCAAAGAATTCCTAAAAAGGAGCGGGAATAACCACAGACGATCAGGATGGAAGGATTCTGGGGGAACAGGAACACAGACACCCCCCTCACATTATGTATATAACTGGGTCCTTCCTCCATATGTCATACTTCCAAGTATTGGGTGGTCTCATTTTAACAATCCAGCTGCATTGTTTAAAGTGTTGTCATGTTGAAAACACAAACACACATGTTCAGTCGATTACAGACCGTTGCAGTTTGTCCCTGTAACATGTTCATCCCATAAACACCTGTATGATGTCTAACGCTGTAATTATAACTGTCATTAAAGTCGTACAACTTACTTGACTTTTGCTCGTGTATTTTGTAAGTATTGCTGTTCACATTGTGACACCCGACTCAATATTACACAATACCATGTGACTAATGAACTCCATCTCTGACTTTCATTTTGTGTTTTTACAAGGCCAAAGTCAATTATATCCACACAAAAAAAGCTATGGGATAACAGGCTGTGGTTGTATTCTAAGCAAGCAGCCTCATATACTGTACTGTACAGTATGTAATCTTAGGATCAGTTACATATGGGAAGCATAAGTAGAGTCATTACATCATTATTTCTTTGTAATTGCATCCATCCAAGCAAAAAAAAAACCTCAATAAGCCTTAAAATGAAAGCAACAGATGCATCTCTTGTACTGCTAATTTAGTCGAGTTATCATTGTTGGTCTCTAATGAGCCTTAAAATCAGTTTGCAATATATAAGATTGTATCTCACAGTTTCATGACCTTTTAAGTCGTAAGTGTAAGTTACCAAAGTAATGTTTGTGAAGTTTCTATATACGTTCTTCTCTTTAGCGCATTACAAATTGCAGTTCTGCAACAGCGCTGTAACAAACTATCACTGTCACTACGCCTTTGTACTTACGCATTGCATCCATTAAAGGCGTAATGTTGATGTACCAGTGTGTGATGTCATTAAGGCGTTACAGGAACGAGAGAGGCATGACGTGCGAACACACAGCAAGAGCTCCTCATCGAAGACACACAGGCATGCACACACAGCGCTGTTCAGTCTGGCTGGCTCCGACGTAACACATCGCCACTGTCTTCCCCCATTAATCTTCTGTTACCTACCTCTGATGGCGGCTCAACAACATCGCCACATCATTCTGACTCTGTGCGTTGCACTTTGCAGGTGAGACGTAACCGTGACGCAAATATCCTGCCTTGAACTGGCAGAGTGTAAGAGCCATCTGTAAAAACAGTCGCTCTTTTGATTTGTTAACAGATGAAGGAATCATCAGATATGACATAGTTGGAGAACTGATGGTTGTGCTATTTATTAATATAAAAAAATGTATCAAAATACGTGTACAACTTTTTAGCTCTACTACACTTCCAACAGCACATCTCTTCTCTGCGTTATGTTGGCCGTGCCTCAGTTATTTGACAGTGGGATTGGGAAATAATGGAGAAAGGGGACATTTTTCGTACTGCCAGGACAATAACAAAAATTTGTGCCATTTATGGTTTTATTCACTGGTCATGTGCTAAAATGAAAATATGTCAGAGGAATGAAAGCAACCAACAAGTGTGATGGAAAGAAAAGCTGTGAGAGTCATGTTGCCTGCTTCAGCAGCACTGTGGCATGCTCCAGACCACAGATGACTCAACGCAAGACACAGGGCATGTTCAAAATATTTATGGCTCATAACTCTTTGCCACCATAACAAACAGTAAAATAAATTATTCAGACTACCACATTTAATGAGATTTGGATTAAAGGTCACATATTATTATACTTTTCAACCAGCTTAAATATGTGTATGAGCTCCAAAAAACATGTCTGTGAAGTTTCTTGTTATAAATCCACTCTGATCCTGTATGTTAGCATGTATAGAACAGGCTGTTTCTGTGTCTGTAGCTTTAAATGCAAATGAGCTGTGTCTGACCACGCCCCTCTCTGGAAAGGAATGTGGCTTTCTTGCACAATGCCCAATTGTTAACAGCGAGAAGGTAGACTCAGGGCAGAACAAACACCTAGCTATGGGAGTGTAGCCCATCTGGGGGAGGGGTTACTGCCCTTTGTGATGTAATGAAGGGCAAATCTCCAAACAGCCTGTTTCAGTACACATTTTCTGAAAAGTGGAGCAGGCAAAAGACGGAGAGGATGGACTTTTCTCATAATTGGGGGAGTACAGACTAGAGACACTTATAAGTGTTGCAAAAACATGTTGAAGTGGATTTTGCATAATATGAGACCTTTACGGGATTCAAGATTAAACTTGTTTTGGGCAGCTTTCTAACTCACCGGACCGTCTGTAAAAGTCAGGATATGACATCTCAAAAAGAATATTATGGGCACAGGTGCCCATCTGCTTTTCATTCTTCCTGCAACTTTTTTACTTTTTTTTTTTACATGTTTGTGTGCGTATTGCACACAATTAACGGACTAATAAGTGTGAGCAATTCATATATTTTAACATATTCAAGTCTAAAATGAAATAAAACAATGACAAATCATGGTAAGGGCCTATTTGTATTTGTGGGCATTCAAGAATTCAAAGTGAAATGGCACTGATGAAAATACAGAGGTATTTGAGGAGATGTTGGCCTTGTGTATTTTTAATGCAGATGCCAAATGCCAAAGGTAGACATTTGATGCTGATCTAGTGTTCTCTTCTCCGTGGGAAGGCTCAAGTTTTTCTGTTTTCATAAACAAAGGTGCTCTGATATCTAATCAGGTAAAAGCTATTTTTGGATTGTGATTGAGATGTAATGTTAAGATGTCTACTGACAGCTACATACCAGTATGGCAACATATTGTCCTGCGTTTCATTATTATCAAAGTGGCAAGGCATAAAAATAGTCTGGACAGCTACTCTGGCCTTTCATATTCTTGGAGCGGGCCAAATTTCCACTTGAGAAAAGACACTCCTCTCCACACGTACGCTTTCACAGTTCTGTAACTGATCCTGCCCACAACAAATAAACACAAGGACTGACCTTGGCCGTGACATTGAGATTACAATTACATAACAGGAAGCCACAGGAACTGAATAACACGGGTCAATCTACCACAGCGAGAGTTGTTGTCAAAGCACAGGCTTCGCAAGTGGAGGAAAAGCTTCCTATCTTTTAATCCAGAGTGACAAGAAGCAATGTTTGTACAAAAACTGTGCAGGGCCCTCATCACGTGGCCCAAAAGAATTAAATGCTTGAGGGCTAAAAGTGCTCAAATAATTCCTGAAGTGGTTCTATATGGATCTTGCACATGAGCCTGACAAAATTACTTGATAGCGCTCCCTTGAAATTTCCCTTAAGAAAAGAATCAGCCCCTTCGGTGGGTGTCACTGACATGTATAAAACTCTGTAGGCATATGTACCACGTCAAGGACTACAAAAAGTGCTCCTAATGTCATGATGTTTACCACAGTCTTTATCAAGTGAAGAAGAAAACATTTGGAGCCCCCCCTACTGACTGACTGCAGTAGAGCTCATAAGTACCACCTACACCATAGGTTACCAGATGGGACTTAGTTCAAACTATAAAATCAAAATACACCTCAAATAAAACGTTCTCAAACATCGTTTCTGTCTTTATAATTAGTCCTTACCATCCTGATTTATGTCCAAGTTTTCATTATTAAATAGTTTTAGTTTTTATTATTTATTTGATGCTATATAAAGGGTATAATCCAAAGACTGGCAGCTCTGTTCCTGTTTTTTTTTTTCCTGTTCTGTAAATCCTATTTGACAAGAAGAGATTTTTGTATAAGACACTTCAGACAACCTTAAGTTAGAAAAAGACTACAACCTCCAAGAGTAAGCTGCACTGTAGTCTTGTTTTTTATTGTGCAGCAATCACAGTGTTGAGCACAGAAGGGCCTAACACCATAAACATAAACATTAAACAGTGGAGCTATGTTTAGGCTGGGTCTGTCTTACAAACAGGCTTGTCTTTCAAACACAAGTCCCTTTGCCAGTCTCTCTCACATCTAAGGGCTCAACAGAACCTGGTTAGCCCGAGCAAAATTCGAGTTTTAGTTGATGTGGTCTGAAGTCACAAATAGTTATAACAGACCACTCTGGCGTTCTAAAGTTTCAACCAGATGGATAGTTTAAGGACAGTTTCCGACAGTTCCCCTGCAGATCCAGTATTTAAAAGTCTCCTGTGCCTCACATCATGTCGAACGCTAAGGGAAAAGGCCAGGATACTTAGCACTATCCCTCATCTGAATGACCAGAACGACAGCAGCCGTTAACAGCATCAAACTAGCCCTCCAAACACATCCTGAAAGGCCTTCAGAGAAATTCAACAGTTTTTTTTTTTATTTGATGGATATTTTGGTTACGGATCAGTTACGTAACATTATTTTGACAATATTCATAGCCTTGACGGCAGGGAGGTCAAGACCACTCGAGGGGGCCCAGTGACAGAGGCCGTGAACTGTTACACGAGGTGTCTAAATCCAGCAATGAGTGTGACACACAAGATGTATGGCACACGCACTTTCATCACCGACTGGGCAAATGGCATAGTGAACATTCCTCAGAGGTGACTGTCATGGAGCAAAGGGTACAAAGTGTTGTTTGTGTGTGTTCAACTCACCCGTGAGATGGTGAGGGGCAGACAGAAGTCCTTCCCTCCCTGCAGTCTGAAGCCCCAGGGGGCGGGGCCAGCCAGTGTGACGCTGTAGCTGCTGCTCATGATTCACCTAAGGACAGAAGAAAGAACATTTCAGTGATTGTGCATGAAACGACATGGATATATGATCAAACATTGATATCAAAGACACAAAAAAGAAAAAAAATCAGATAATGAGAATAACAGGAAAAAGAGGAAGTAAACAAACTGTGTTTCCTGTACAGTAATTTACAACAAGTATGCAGCCAAAACTTTAAAAAAAGTTCACAATTCTCAAGGAATTCACAACAGAAAGTCAAAGATCATAAAATTCCTCAAGAGGGTTAACCCCGATATCCTGTTAAAGTACAAAATAAAAGCATCCACCTGTTTTGAAAAAGCTCTTTTGCATTACATGGGATTAGTTTCTGCACATCTCCAGTGAATCAGAAGTCGAGTTTGCAATGAGCCCCAGTAAAGCACTGACAATCACTTGTTTACCTTACAAAAATCTCAAATCAGTGATTTGTGAACCTGCACTTTGGACCTGTCGTCAACATGTCCTTTCACTGACCCAAGGTGTGTGAAAGATTTGTTATGACAGTGGTGTCCAGACTGAGACGAACTAGATATTCTTGTAAAAAAAATTATGTAAAAGCGATATCGTGTGCCACTGTGCATATAAAAATCCTCTTTGAAGGTTTGAAAGGAATGGAATGAAAACTACAATCATAATGGTTTTATAACACAGGAATAAATGAACAAACCAGATGCATGAAAATTAGCCTTTGAAAAACATAGGCATCATCTGTCCCATTTCTCTAAGTCTTCCAACCACTTAGCAAAGACTATTTGGTGCGGTGAAATATTTCATGCCCTATTGAGTTTCACTGGTTTAAGCCCTGTCTGTCATGCATTCCCTTTCCCCTGAAAAATTGAAGCTGCAGGCTTATTATTAGAAGTGAGTCTGGGGTTAAGTGCAGTCATATGTAAAGTTTTAAGTGCATTATTGAATTTATTGGGTTGGTTGGGGAAATTGGTATACCATACTGGGCAGAATGTGCCTTTCTCTCTAGAGTCTGAGTATTTAGCTAACAGGCTGAAGTTGATCTGTGTGCCTGGGAGCCCAAGAAATAAAAAAAAAAAGATTATGAGGAAACATGTCACCTTTGCCCTGCCCAACAGGAAGGGAGTGTGTTGACATGAAAACATGACAACCCATACTGACCACTTTCACATACTGTATGTGCTGTAGAGTACATTGCAAATATACAGAAAAAGGGGGAAACATAGAAGATATGCTTAGACAAACTTTTATCGGACGGATGTTGACTGTTATCAGGATTTACCCTAGAGAGGAACTGGAAACATGGGGAAGGATAAGACTTGTAATTCAGACGTGATGTGCTATGAGTCTGGTGTTCGGAGCAAATGGGAATAACAGTGGGGATACATTTATGAGTTTTTAACTAATGAGCTACTGACAGAGGTTTATTTGGCTCTTAAAAAGTAAAGAGACTCGGCAGATGAAGGAAAAAATTAGGTGCATAGAAATATGCACACACTTGGGCAGCGCAAAGGGGACATGCTGTACTTTTCTGATGAGTACTTCATGAATAATAATGCCCTGTCATGTCATTTTGAGGTAGCCCTGCCGCCGTCACAATTTCCCTCAGGGACACAGCACCACCTGCTCTAACCCATCACCTGGTCAGTTATGGAAAACACATCAAATCACAGGGTTGGCCCAAACACTCACTATCTCACCATCTCGCCTGGAGGGGAACAGGCCCCTTTAAGGAGTCTGTAGAGGAGTAGAGGAGCCACAAAACGGGTGTGAGGTGAAGATATAAAAACACGTGTGACAGCGATAAGGAGGAGGTGAACACCTGGAGATCACACACTTTTGTAATCAATCTAATATGCCGAAACACAAATACACACACGCATGTAGAATATGCAGGTCTATAATAAGACAGCAATGAAGGCAGCTGTCTCCTTCTTCAAGGTGACTTAAGATTGAGGTGAACCAAGACATTAGTAAGATGTCCTGATTCCATTTTGTCCTTTCCTGCACAGATATTTAGACTAACTGTTGGTTCGACCAAGTACCCACTCAATCACAGAATAACAGTGCAGTAACAAAACTGTCCATACTACTCTGTCTTTCCAGCTGTGTTATATGATCGATATCACTTAAACTGCAGACACAAACAAAACCCTGAGAAATCTCAATTGTCTTATATTAAAATGCTGTATAGTGATTTTTTTTATTTTGATAACTTAAAATTGTATGAAAATAATGTTTAATAGGAAAAACCCTGATTGATGAAATTTAGCTAGCTTTGGCTAAAGATACAGTTTTGGCTAACACCAAACAGGTTGTTAGCCAAAAAAACAAGTTGTTTTTTTTCATTCCAAAGCAGAGGCTAATGTATAATGTGTTGTGTTAGCAACTTTTTGTAGAAGATGAAACAAGGCTGTTTTCTTTTTATTTGTTTGTTTGTTTGTTTTGTTTGGGGGGGGGGGGCTGATAAATGATGGTAGGCCCATCGTATGGGTCAATTGGCTGACATACGCCTTGAGACGAGTTATTGCTTTCAATGGTGTGTTCCACTTGATCTCAGAAGTTGGTAATTCCAAGTTGCTGGTCTGATACGTCATCAGGAACGCCCCAGGAAGTCCGAACAACAACATAAAGAACTCATAAACATTGTAAACATTGCTGCAAGGTATGTTTGCCAATACATTTGATACTATTACTATAGTACTAGTACTATACCTCTAGTCTGACAAACAATTAATCTTCTGGGGTGACATAAGACACAATGGACATAAATACTTCAAGTTTTGTGCAAAGACCTTTGAGCATAAGTGTCATGGCTTCAGGACACTCTCCCGTTGTCAAAGAACAGCCCTTGAGGAGAACACAGCACTGGATAGCTCTGTAACAACTATGTCATTTGTTCAAAAGCGACTCTCTTAAGGATTGGATTTCAAAGCCAACTGGGATATCATGGTATAAGGTGAAACATTGATTTTAAAAAAGGCAAGCCCTGGTCCCTCGTATCAGCATTTCTCTTCCTAATATGGAGAGAAAAAAAACCTAAGGCACATGTCATGTCCCTGCTTGTTGTGCAATCTCTAATGATATCATGCACAGGCGTGAGGAGACACACCTTTAATGTTCCCAAACAAGAGAGGAAACCGTTGAGCTCTGCAAAAGCATTTTATCAGCAGCACCCATATCAAAACTTCTCTAATGCTAGAAACCGCATTAACTCTGGTTATTTTCATGTTCCTGTCATAATGGTACTTGATTGTGTTAAATATTTTAACACATTCACACCGTAGAGAAGATTAAAACACAATCCTTTCAGCACAGCACAAAGGAGAGCTCAGTTATGATCTCACTCATTTATATGTCATGTAATGTAGAGGCCCTCGATATTATTGAGAGATAGACAATATGCTAGTCTTATACTTAAATCAAATGCTATTGATCTCAATATTAAGACACTTTTTGGGGAGTTTTGATTCAAGAAGTGTAAAAGCTTAACAGAGTGTAATGTTGCCATTCACTACTCTGACCTCAATGACCCTTTCCATTGTGTCAAACTACAGCTGTGTCAAGTCATGTTTCTAATCTTTGGGCATCAGGAAGGAAATGTCTCAGACTTCTGCTGAACATAAAGTGCATTTTTAACGTGACGGCATTAGATAAGGTGACCAAAAGATCGGAGAATGTTTTCACAATGTGCTACAGTACCTCACAACAATTTGCAAACCAAAACACAATTTTAAAATCACAAATGTCAAAAGAAAAAAAAAAGTACTTTTTTGTTGGTTTTGCTATGTTTTACAGTCAAATGTTTATCCAGTTTTAGTGGTAATACTTGTTCCAAGTTTACTTAAAGGGACACTTAATGTACATAGGATAATTACACGTTCGCCCTAAACCAAATGAACTTTTCTGCTCTTACAGCATGTGCCACATTTATAACATAGAGGCCTAGGCTATATATTTATAACAAAAACACTTTCCAGAAGACTGCTGTGAATTATTTAAAGTCTCTTGCATTAGATCGTGAGTCTGGACCATTAAATAGGCTTTAATATAACTAGGATTTAGCTTCAGGTGTAGTCATCATGGGACAAAATGATAACTGGGCAGGTCGTGTTCACTCGGCTGTTTACGTAAAGTTTCGTCTGTACCCAGGCCGGCTGTTTTGTTTTCTCACGGAACCTTAATTTTGTCAGTGGGTGTGACACAAAACACATGTCTAACATTTTAAGTTCACTTTTTAATCCTTGACACACCTACAAATTCAACAAAGTCCAATAGGTAAAATATAAATTCAGGGGGCAGTAAGAAAGTATTTGTTTTAAGTAGCCTAATAAACCATAAAAAAAAAAAAAAAAATCGCCGCATATTTCAATCCGCGTATGTTCTTTCAGTTTAAAGTTTGTAACGGACAATAAAACAGTAAAATCCTCGAGGAAAATGAGCTTTCTTTGTGTCACTGCAGTAATATTTATGTCACATAAACAGTGCAGTAGCCTACTCACCTTGCCTTGTGAAGCCGGGTCTGATGTTCAGATGAGAAGCGTGACTTTAGTCCGTCTGTTCTCAGTGAAGTGAACTGGACTCAGCGGAACTGAGACTTCCGCATATAAAGCCGGCCCCATCTGTCTGCCGGTAGGAGGGTTCACAGCAGAGTGTGCAAAGTTGTTGACTGAAGGCTACACAGCGGCAAGCACGGGCTTGCCACAAGCTGGGACAGTACAGGTGAAGTAGACACACATAAAGTACCGTTTAGATAACTGAGTCAGAAGTAAAGTCAAGGCTGAGCTCAAAATGCGAAGGATAGCCCTGCTGAGGCAAATGATGAAACACAGCCAAAAAGGAACCAAAATCAACTCATAACTCATAACTGAATGTTGTCAGACCCTCCCAGTTGTTCACAACGATGATTTACAATTGCAATTAAATATCTTAAAAAGCGTCCATTTGAAGCCTATTGTCTACTCAACTCTCTCAACTTCTGCTTTGACACATTGCTTAACATTTGAACACCAATTTAAAAAATGAAACGACTTGTTCTAGGACTCGACCCTTTATTTAAAGACGTGTACATGTATTCAGAACATTTTATTTCAAGGTCAAAGAATAATACATGTTACATTAGTGTATCCATAAGTGAAATAAGAGCCTACCTCATTATAGAAATTAGGTAAGTCTATATGCAATTTGAATACATTATCTTAAAAGTAGGCATAGGCTACATATGCCCCAAAACCAAATTTATTATTCGTCTTTATCACGTATAGAATGCAATCATTACTGTCCATGTAGCTATGAAAGCTAATAATAACAACATTTTCACATATTTTTTGCTTCTGATCTCTTTCAAAGTCACAAAGGCCTTCTTGTGCATAATTTTATAGGCTATAGAAACCTTTCAATTACTTTTGTTCACGAGTCTGTCTCAAATGTCTCTACCCTCAAAGATCTTTTGTCCTCAAAGATCTTTAAAATGTTACATTTTAGTCTGACATATTTGCTTTAGTTGCTAGTTTTGTGTTCAGGAATGGAAAAAAAAAAGAAGCCATGTAGGTGGTAAAAGGAAAGCATTTGGTAGATCTATTATCATACGTCATAATGTAAGCCATATTTTTAGGTTTGACAAGGCATCGGTTTACTTTGTTGGGTCAGAGAACAGTGATGCCATTTTTCCTGTTAAATGCCTCCAGTATTCAGGACAAGTCACATGACATCCTTCAGTACTGTAAATCACAGTAACAAATCAACTAATAGAGGGTACATTTAGTACATGAACAATAAAATATGTTACTACAATATATGACATGCTTTAGAAAGAATAGTTAAAAATCTGCTGGTCTCTTATACATTTCAGTATTACTTTGAGATTTATTTTCTAATTTCCTAATTATTTAGTCAATTTATCTCCGTCATTCTTTCTCTCAATCTCCCTCATACTCTCTATCTCTATTTGATTTCCCCTGAAAGTATGTGTCTGAACTATTTCCACTTTACCTCTCCTTTTTGCATTTGTGTGTTAAGCTTTTTATGTCATTTCTTTATACATCTTGAATATTATTTGAAAGCATTCTTGTTTCATACAGTTCTATCACAGTGAAGCAGGATTCAGTGTGTACCATGGTCTGGTGGCGTAGTGTTGGTGTGCTCTCTAGTGGTCAGAAAAGAAAGTACATGCTTCACACTTCCTGCTCACAATCTGGATTTAAAGCTGCTTTGCAATTTGTGGCCTCAGGACATGAAGGATACAGTTAACCCTGCCCTTCAAGTGGGCAGGTTCATACTTAAAAAATGTGTCACTCGTCTTGTTTAGATGTTTCTTGTCTACCTCAACGCCACATCAAGCCTGAGGCTGAGGTTTTCAGAAAGCCAACTAAAGGCAAAGAAGAAAAAAAATCTGAACATCGACATTTTTTATTAAAAACAGCAACGAAAAAAATACAATGCTGATAGTCATTTGCCTGTTTGTTTTTGTGTTTTGATAGTCCTGGCTTGGTCAGTCAACACTATAGCTTGCAATACATATGAACAACAACATGAGACTGAAGTTGAGAAGGTTTCGATTAATTGTTTAAACAATTTCTTTCCTTTTGCACTACCACCAGGCTATTCTTTTCTTATTGAACAGAATAACATAAATCGTTTAAGTGCAAATCCCTTTATGTTCCCAGTGCGATATTTCTGTAAAAGCAGTTTTCATATCGGTACATGTTGGAAAGCATTTCATGTACATGTCAATTAGGACATTTTTGTGATCATAATAATAGCAAAATATTATTGGCCAAACCATATATTGATAAGAATATCTACTACAGTATATTTCTGGAAACTTCAAAGTTCATTTCCAAAATGTAATATAAGTTTATGCTCTGCCACTGTGGAGGCTGACCTGAACCTTTCACTTGCCACAGACATCATTTACCAAAGATTTACTCTATTTTATTTTTTTCCACTTTATGTTTACCCTGCCCCTAATCCCTCAGTTTTAAATAGGTCAGGAATGTGTCACTATAGGATGTCATCTTTTTTTCTTTTTTTTTTTCAAAGTACTGCTTCACACTATTTTAGTGTTCAAGGCATTCCAAGATTTGTCAGTGTATGACTAAACATTACATTAAATAAATGTCTTAATGTGACAATCACAATAGCCTACATGTCATCTTGTCTCTCAATGTGCAGTGCATCCTCATATTTATGCACTTTGACATTTTGTTGAATAAATACATAGATGTATTTTACATTCATAAACACATGACCTATTGGGTAGATTCCCATTGACTGTCCACAGATAGTAAGGTAATCGAATTACTATTACTCCCTTGCATTCTGCTGCCAAGCTCTCATTGGCTTTCTTTCAGCCATGTGCACCAAGTCAATATGTGGTTATAAACTAATGGAAAGCCCCAAGGCCAAACCCCCCTGTGCAATGCTATTGAACCACTGAAGTGTACTAGTCATTTATGTAAGTCTGCAATGCATACCTTCAGATCATCTTTACATAACTGGATAAGAAAAGCACTTATCCTGGCTGGAATTAAAGTTCAAAGACAGTTCAGGTTGGGGCTTTCTAGCTATTTGAATTTGCCATTCCAGATTTGCAAATTTTGCAAATAGGAATGTGCTCTTACTGACCTGCCTGGTTAAATAAAGGTAAAATAAGAATAAAAATCAATAAAAAATAAATGTGAGTACATGAGAACATATAGGTAAGAATGAAATAGGATGTATGTATAATGTATAAAGTAGAACAGGAACTCCCCTGCATTGCCTATAGTCATGCACTCAACAGATCCATATTATTAATAGACTGTGGTCTTCCTCGTGGATGTTCAATGCACTGTATTGTGTGTCCTGATTTTAAATCCAGAGCCGGACATCTGTTAGCCTAGATTTCTTTCTTTTTCTTTTCTTCCTCTCCGCTCTTTAATTCTGTTCACTCTGTTTTAATAAACGACCACATCCTGACAATAGTGAGAAAATGAATGTGATCTGCAGGATAGAGTAAGTGGAAAATGTATCAACCTTTTTTTACAGAGCTTCTGATTAGATGTACAAACTCTTAGTATTAAGAGCACACTAACCAAGACCAAGACATACCAGAGACCAGAGTGCTCAGAGACCAAAACAAGACCAAGACATTTAAGGATTGAGACCGAGTCAAGACCAAGACCAAGGCAGGGCGAGACCGAGACTAGAACATAAATATCCCCAAAAAGACATCATCTTGTGTACAAGCAGGCGTGTCACTCACTTACAACATAGCAGGTTCCAGCCGTAACCGGAGGATACAAATGAAATAATGAATTAATTTATTCCTTCTTTTAGAAAGGGGCATTTCCTTCTATTCACAGTAATGACATGGAAAAATAGCATATCAGTGGTGGTTTTGACCGGTCCTTATTTAAAATCTGGAGTCCGCCTGGTCTGAGACCGAGACAAGACCGAGCAAAATACTTTTGATTCCGAGACGAGACCGAGACCTTCAAAAATTGGTCCCGAGATTTCAAGTACTACAACAGTACAAACTCTATTAAGTGATTTGCTGTAATACTTTTTGGAAGGTAGACAACACAGGTTCTATATTGCATGTGGGTAACAACATTATGCATTGATTACAATTTATTTTCTTATTATCTTTATTTATAAGCACTAAAATCACTTATTATGTGTAAAATGTTGATCAAAATGCTTCATCACGCAACTGACAATGACCACAATGTATTTGACACCATTATTTCATAGCTACAGCAAGTTGACACAATAGTCTGAAGTAGTAAAATAAAAATAACAATAATCTTGAGCACCTATTTGAACAACTTATCTGCCATAAAAATGATTGAGTACTCTTGATAAAAAAAAAAAAAGAAGCACCAAGGGCAACAAGTATTGAATGTTTACAAGAAGATGTACAGTGTAAGAGTTGCTGCTTTTACAGAAATGGCTTAGCATGATTCACCGTTGTGTTTTTAGGATGTATCTTAACAGTTAATGAATTCCAACTAATCACAGTATGATATATACTGTCTTTATGAATTGCTTAGTCTGGAAGCCTAAAATTAAATGTGGCTCTTTCATAAACGTTGGTTTAAAATGATTAAATATCAACTAAGTAACAAACTGCAGTGACTGAAAGTCTTTGTGTATGTAACTTAAAACCACTTAAGTGACAGATAGTATGATACAGAATGTAAAGTCAACTTTGTTTTTAATGTCATACATGATTCAGGTGATATTTATATTTAGGTTACAAATAAAACACTCGTATGAAATTGGGTTCCTCACAAAATACTTTCTTTGGTCTCTTCAAAACAACTGGATCATGTTTATTGACTGGGTTTAAAAAAAAAAAATGTTTTTCCTTGCTGTGCAGTTGCTTCTTGGAACTTTTTTTTAAAACCACAGTGCATACAAAATGAGAAGTTTTGGAGATGTTAACAAGAATTGTCCTTGTTTCATTGTGATAAATTATAATTGTGTAGATATCGACCACTTGCATTTAGCATAGAAAAAAGCAACAACAGTTTTATGTTAACAGCATACCAGCATAGGTTTTTGGTTAGAAAATAGTTGTTGATACGATTGCACGAAAATCAAAACATCTGATCTGATTTCAGTGCTTGGTGAAACTGTTTAAATTAAACAGCT